TAGTTCGACTATCATTTATCACACGAGAAATGGCAACAGTTCAATTGATTCCCATATTGCTTGGGCCTTACTTTCCTGTAGACGTGCTCTGCCTTGGGTTTTTCGCATTCACATAAAACCCCTAGAGAGAGCGTAAAATGACGAAATTAATCAATAGATAATTATGGGCATATTTTACGCAATTTAATACAAATTTGGTTTAGATTTCTTGAAGCCCTTCAGCTGGTTTTTAGATATACGTTGGTGAAATCCTGGAGTCCATCAAGCTCAGTAAACCAAGACAAGAAACTCAGCATCTGCTTATACCCTGTAAGGGGTATCATGGTCTTGGGCAATTGTGTGTAACAGGCAGCATCAATAGTCAAGTCGAATTGGCCATGTCCCCTTGCCTCTCCCCCTGGCCGACCATCTGCCCGTACGTCCATCCGTCCATCTGTCCGTCTAGCTGTCCATTTGTATAAAAGTTTCGATTTCACAACCTAAAGGAACTAAAGACTTGGGCAGTTCGTGGTTTTTACTGAGAATCGATAACTTGCTCCGTTTCCAAGCAATCGATAAAAATCGATATCGATCTGCTGTTTTTTTGAGCATATCTCTTGGGTTTTAATGCCTATAGTTAACAAATTTGACATGTATCTTTGATCTTATAGCTATCTGCACTTGTTGTTAGTAAAGGAAGATAGGAAGGGTATTCCCTAGTCGAACAATTATTTGATTTGCAATCTGCCTCATAGAGTAGACCCTTAAGAGTATACCTTAAGAACTCGCAAATGTCTTCATCAGTGCATTACTCATTTAACAAAAAAAAAAATGATAATGACCTTTGCAAGAGCATACAAAGCTAAGGGTGACACATTTTTTTTGTTTGGTTTTTTTTGTGAATTGATTTGGCAAACAAATTCACAATGCACGCAAGCTGTCCGTACGTCTGTCTGTCTGTCTGTCTGTCTGTCTGTCAGTGGATGGGCATGGAGTGGTTCGGGCTGGAGAAGTGACCATGTGGAGTGACTGTCAGTCGGGGTTGGAACCGGGCACCGCACAGATAGCGTGCGTTACGCGCCGCCGCCTCGCCATATGCGAGATGCCAAAAAGCCGACAGGCCCGGCTAAGCGGGACTTGAACTATTTTGCATAGAGAGAGCCTGAGTCAGAGCCAAAAAAAAAAAACGCGGCAGCTGTTGGCCCAAAAGCTATGCGCAAAAAAAAAACCTCGCCTAGTCGCCAGTTAATTGTGAAGGGCAAAAGGCAGACAGAGAGGGAGAGAGAGAGGGAGGGGGTAAGGTAATGAAAAGGTTCCAAAAAATCAAATATCATATATCAACTTACATATCAAAACAAGATGGCAAAAACAAAAACAACGCGCCAGGCCAGGCTTTTACCCATTTTTACCAGTTCGCCTCTCGACAAACATTTCATTTGCATCTCGCGTCTCGTCTATTACATGGCCTCACACCTTTCCGGAACTGGGTACAAAGTCAGCCAGGGGCGGCGCGGGGCAGGGCCGACAGCTGTCCGACGGGACCCCGACCCAGACTCCGACTCCGACACCGACTTCGATTGCGACTCCGGCGCGCAGCCCTCAAGACGCGAATGCAAATGTCCTTTATGCAAATTTCCCGAAGATCGTTTCTTTTTTTTTTCGTTTTCATTTTCAGTTTTCCATTTGCCGCGGCACGCACTCTGGCATTATGAATTATTGAACTATTGGCAGTCTAAGCAAACATAAATTGAGCAATAAATTATTTTCGTTTTTCCAAAGGGTTCGCGTTCGGAATCAGCGCCAGCCGCGCCCCCTTTTTGAAGCCAAAGTCTTTCGATAAGGCGGGCGACATCGATACGCGTGAGGTTTTTCTTCGAGACTCGTTTTTATACCCTTCGCAAAAGGGTATTATAATTTTGTCGTGACATGTGTAACGCATAGAAGGAGACATCTCCAACACCATTAGGTATATATATTCTTGATCAGCATCAAGAGCCGAGTCGATATAGGCATGTCCCTCTGTCCGTCTATTCGTCTGTCTGTCTTTCTGTTGCAGGCAGTACATATGTCGGAACCAGCCGGATCGGACTACTATATCATCTAGCTACCATAGGAACGGTCGATCGAAAAGTAGGTTCTTGTATGAAAAAGTTTTTTGTTTATCAATATATCTTAACCAAACTCGGCATTTATTAGTTTCACTATGTTCTCTACATTTACGCAAAATCTTATTTACATCGGACCATTATATCATATAGCTGCCATAGGAACGATCGATCGAAAAGTAGGTTCTTGTATGAACAAGTTTTTTGTTTATCAAGATATCTTAACCAAACTCGGCATTTTTTAGTTTTACGATGCTCCTCATATATATGCAAAATCCCAACAACATCGGACTTCTATATCATATAGCTGCCATAGGAACGATCGGTCGAAAAGTAGTAGAATATCTTAAACATAATCGGCATTAACTATTTTTCCTATGCTTTTTAGATACTGGCAAAGCACTATGAGCATCATGGGCATGTTGTGCCTGCCAGGGTATTAAATCTTCTTCTTCGATGATAGCCCTTCTTTCTCGCTTTTTTTTGGTTTTGTTTTCTTGTGACATGTGACATGACACAGTCGAAAACGTGGGCACTCCAGATGCAATTACGATAAGCCCGATAAGGCCCAGAAAGTAGCGCTATGGTCAAGCCGTTTGCCGGCCACAGGGCAGGGGCCGGGGCAGGGGCAGACGGAGTCAAGGAGTGCGCCAATTAGACGAGTTAGTCGGCCGTTTGATGGGCCCAAATTGAGGTGCAACAACTCGGTAAACGGCCACGTGGCAGCTGACACGGCCTCAACGGCAGCAACAAAAACAATTTACCGAGGCCCAAAAAAACTTACCAAAAAAAAAAAAGAATAAAAGTTATGAGTACTACCCTATGGAGCTGCTAAATTTAGTTAGCTCTACGTCTCGCCAAAGAGAGAAGCAACATTTGTAATTGGTTAACCAAAGATAAGAGACAATTGCTCGCAAAGCAACGAGGGGCATAACAGAACGCAAGATCGAACACCCTTCGTAGACCCAAGCCTTAGATGGGCTCCTATACAAAAGCTTTCTTTCCAAACGATTCCTCATATGGAAATCCTCTGATATAGAAGCGGCTTTGCAGTTATTTTGGGAGCAGAGCTGAGTTTTCTCAAGATATTAGCACAAACTATTTCTCAACCGTTTCTACCTATAGAACTATGTGATATAGTAGTCTGATGTTGAAAAGATTTTTACCAAAAGTAAAGCGCATGTTAAGACTTCTATAGGCCAAATTTGGTGGACATCAATTGAGAAACAATAAAGTTTTTTTACTTTAACTCATTTTAAGACATGGGAGATGGGAAAAACTTGATTTTTATCTATAACTCTCTCTCTCTCTCTCTCTCTTATATATTCATTTAGACATATATATATATATTTAGATTAATAAGGTTTTCGTGAAGATTTGCGAAAGTTTTGCTAACTTATCTGAAATCAGCACTGAAAATTACTTTAAAAAAAGCTAATCTTTAAAAATTTAGAAAAAAAAAGGATTACCTTAGTACAAATTATTTTCCCAAGAGGTAAGATTGCAGCCTTATCGGCGGGGCGAGACAAAAGCTTATGTTGTCTTGGCCCTATTGCTGAAAAAAAGGCTAGATTTGTAGCTTAGAGTTAACTTTATATAGTTTTTACTTGGAGGCTTCAGCTTTGAGAGGCTTGAATAAAATAAATAATTAAATAAAGTAAGCAAATTGTGCACAAATTATAAAAATCTGGGAGAACAAAATACAGATCACATAGTTATTAGAGTTTCCGTTAGTTGCTTATGACAGCTTGGGCTGGGATTAGGAAAAGGTTGCCAGCTACAAATGTAACTAATCTGAATGGATCGCATAACTGGGCACAATGGGATCGTAACATACATATAACCACACCCGCACAGCTGCCGTTGGGTAAGGAAAGCATTTGCGACACCTTTTGCGGATCCGACAACCAGACCCGACTCAAGATTGTCGCAAGATTGTCGCAATACGAAAGCAAGAAAAGCAAAGGAGCTAAGCCAAATGAGTTTCTCAAAGGATTAGAATTAGAATACGCACTGATCAACACAGAGATACGAATGAATGAATGGGTGAATGAATGTTCGAACGAATCTATTCAAAGTGATCCTCGCTTTTGTTCTCAATGAATATGCCACACGCACAGGCAAGCAGGCAGGCAGGCGAACGGGCGGACGGGCGGGCGGTCAGCTCAGGTGCCGCTGGCTCATGCTAATGAGCAGGTAGTTCCGCTCATAAATCAATTGAGAGCAGCTCAAACTGTGGGCGTAGTTAATCCTTTCGACACTTAATTAGTGCCAGCCACACCTGGAACTATGGACAAGTATTTCGGCTGCTGTGAGACCATGCAAATCGGCATTTGTCTTAGGACTCCGAACCCTTCAAATCTGGAGTATTGTTTATGCAAATATGCCTCAGCAGTTCCTTTGTTCACCTTTGGAACCAGTTGTAAACCAGTGAGCATTTTCCATACCAAGCATCACAATTAAACATAACGAAAAATGTGCCTGAGCTAAAGTTCTTTTATCCTCAGTTGTAACCAGTTATGGGTACGGATTTAGAGCCTCTACAGAACCATCTGGAACCTATATGAACTAGTTCATTTGTTCACTTTTGGAACCAGTTGTGAACCAGTCTGTGTTTGAATATTTTTATACTGTGTATCACAAATAAACATAAGAAAAGATCTGCCCGAGCTAAAGTTCTCATTTGGATCCAGTTATGAACCAGTGATCACCTTCATTTTGAACCTCTACAGAACAGGAACCATTATAAACTAGTTTTACAATTCGCAGTTTCTAAAGTTCAGAATCATTTACTCAAAGAACGTATTGAGAAAGGCGCTGAAAACCTTTGGTTCCCTGTTTGGGAACCAGTTCGGAACCAGTTTTAAGCTAAGATATACATATACGAGTCTATAATAAAAATGCTTTTTTATTGCGAACTCTTGTTCTAATTCACAGATTAACAATTTTATGAATGATTGTCATAAGTTTACGACGCAAAATTGGATCACAAACCTCCTTCAGCGCTGGGCACTCGATTTCCGGCTCGGAACCGGAGTCTTCGTTCCTATCATCCTCCTGAACTTCTTCGGTATCTGAATTTATATTTTTCTTCTTCTTCTTTCTCTTGGGCTCTCTAACGGTTTCATCGTTCGGAATTATCTCAGCCCCTGCCTTTGCCTTCTCTTCTGCCTTTTGGGCAGCCTGCAGCTCATTCTGCGCCTTATTTGCCTCCCGTCGAAGGGCCTTGCGCTCCAGTTTGCTCAATTTGGCAGGCTTTTTCTTTGAAATAGTCTGCTGCTGCTGCACACCAAAAGGTTGGATCGGTTCCTCCGCGCTTATAACGTTTAGCATCAGATCATCTATCTTACGAGGTTTTGCCTTCGTCGATGGCTTCCCAGCTTGCTCCAAGCTGGTCGTTTGATTTGTTTCCGGTACGGCTGGTGTAGGGTGTGCTAAATATTGTTGTTTGGACCCGCTTTTCGGGTTTTCTTGATTTAAATTAGAATGCTCTGGATTACCCAAAACATATTCATGGACATTTATCTCTACTGACTCAGCATATTGGTTTACCTCGGGCTCTACCAGCCTCGCCCCTTCTGAAGCTATCTCTACTTGGGCTTCCTCGTGCTCTACCGGATACACATCTTCTGCAGTTGACTTTAATTGATTTTCCTCGGGCTCTACAGGTTCCTCAATTTTTTTATAATCCGCTATTTGGTGTTCCTGAGACTCTATAAGTTCTACACCCTCTGTTGCTTGATTTTTTTCGAACTTTACGGGTTTCACACCTTCTAAAGCAAACTTTATCTGCTTCGTCTCTGGTACTTTTGAATCAGCATCCTCTGGAACTAATTTTAAATCGAGTTCTACCGGTTCTGAAACTACTGAAGCTACCTTCATCTGGTTTGCCATGAGCTCTACCGACGCAGGACCTTCTGACGCCCACTTTATCTGGTTTCTCTTCAGCTCTACCGTCTGATTTCCCATTGGTACCAGCTTAGCACCTTCTGAAGCTGCCTTAAATTGGTTTGGTAACCCAAGATTTGTCGAATGCTTGGCTTGTTTTATCTCCGCTTCGGACTTATCCTCAGGAGTAGGCTTCTGCATGGCTTTAATTGTTCTAGTCTCCGATTTGTCGACAGAAGTTAGTTTTAGCTTGGGTTGAGCTACCTCCGACACGATTTTAAACTCAGGACTTGGCTTGGCAGCTACTTGAGTTGAATTGGACTCAGCATCGACAGCTTTTTCGGGCATGGTCCACTTGGCAGACAAAGATTTGATTGTTTTAGATGGCGCTAGTATAATACTACTAGCTCCCCTTAGGGGAATACACTTTAGTGTCGCGTCGACTAGTTGGGATTTGTTCTGGGAAAAGATCTGGGTAGTTGAGCGTGTTAGTTCTGAAGCATCTTTTTCAAATCTGTTCGAAAGAGCTGACTGAGTTGGCGGCCATATAACTTTGCCATTATTCTGGGATGATAGCTGGGAAATCGGTTGAAATAATTTTGGATTTCCTTGAGACAAAAGTTTCGATTTAACTTGTGCTGGCACCTTAAAGGCCACCTCCGATGCCTTTGGGCTTACTTCCAGTGAACATTTTGTATTTAAATGGGAAGTCCTTGGACTTACTTCAGGGGAGACCTTTGAAACAGTTAGCTTCCGATTCTCTGAAGTAAATAGCCTGGAAGCTACCTGAGATGTCCTTAGTGTTACATCAGGTGTTAACTTAGAACTTGGCTGGAATATCTTCTGGTTATCTTGAGTCGGAATTAATTCAGGTGACAATTGAGAACTTGGCTTGAATGTCTTTTGATATTCCTGCGCTGGCAGCCTGGAAACTAGAGTTTGTAGGTCGAAAGCTGCTTCAGTTGCCTTTGGGATCAGCTCGGGTGATAATTTGGAATTTGGCGGAGATGTCTGTAAAGTTTCTATGTTTTCCTGAGTTGCCTTTGAGATCGTCTTCGGATTGTCTTGAGTCAGCAGTTGAGTAGGTATTTGGACGACCTTAGCTGTTTCTTCAGTTCTTAGCTTGGAAGCTACTTGGGCTGGTAGCTTGAAGCCTTCTTGAGTTGGTAGCTTGGCAGCTTCCTGAGTTGACCAGGGGCTCACTTCAGCTGAGAATTTAGAGTTAGCCTGGGATGCCTTTTGCGTTCCTTGAGTCGATATCGTGGAATGTACTTGAGCTGGCATCGGAGCTTCTTCCGCTGATGATTTACAGTTTGTCTCTGTTGTTTTTTGATTTTCTTCAGCTGGTAGCTTGAAAGCTACTGGAGCTAGCTTGGAGCTCGCTTCAGCTAATACTTTAGAGCTTGGTTGGGATGTCTTTTGAGCTCCTTGAGCTGATATCTTTGAAGTTGCTTGAGAAGACCTTGGCGCCGCTTCAGCTGACATTTTGAAATTTGTCAGAGTTGTTTTCTGATTGTCTTGAGTTGCCTTTGGATTAAATTCAGGTGTTGTTTTATAATTTGTCTGGGATAGCTTTGGAGTTGGCTTGGCTCCAACTTGAAGCATAGATTTTGTTGGTGTTTGGTGTTGGGACTGAGGCTGAAATGGCTTTTGGTTTTTCCGAGCCAAGAGCTTGGCTTTCTTCTTGGATATCTGCGGAATGGACTTGACGGCTTTTGAGACCACTTTGGAACTTTCCTGTGATATTTTTAAGACTGCCTTTGGGATCTCTTGAGCTGCCTGCATGGCAGTTGCTTGGGTCCAAGTTTCCTGAGATGATAGCTTTATAAAAGGATTGGCTGTGACAATTGATGGGCTTACCTTTGCGGTGTCTTCAGCGGGTGTTGGGCTTGCCAATTGAGTTGTGTTGGGAGCAGCTGCTTCTGGTATTTCCGGTGAGTGCAGCTCTAAATTTGATTGGGTTGCGTTTGAGTTGACCTGACTGGATTGTGTTGTGCTTGAGCTAACTTGGGCTGGCAGCTTGAAAATTGATTGTGTGGGGCTCGAGTTCTCGTGGGAGTTTGATTGGATTGTGGTTGGGCTGTCTTGAGGTGGCATCTTAAAAATTGACAGCGTGCCATTTGAATTGGCCTGGTCAGTTGATTGCGGTGCTGCGAATTTGCTGGCCGTTTGGCAAAGCTGCGCCACAATATGCCCAGCGAATACCTGCGATATTAATTTGTCGGTAATTTCGCCAGGCTCTACCGCAAAGCTCTCAGCCGTTGACTCTGAGTCGATCTTGAATGTGTCATTTATATGCTCAGCACTCTCGGCATTCGCTTGAAACGATTTGCTTGAACTGATACTCAATAGTTCCGGCAGGAGCTTCTCGTTTTTCTCCTGTGTACTTAGCTTGGGCGGCGGCTTTAGGATTTCCTTGACAATCATTTCGGGCTGCCGCTGCGGCTTGTTGGCCTGCTTTGCCGCACGCCCCACATCGGACATATAGTTATTCCTCAGATATTTAGTTTCATTTTTTACCAGCTCCGACTTGCAGGTCCTGATCAGACCCAGCTGCTGTGTGCTGATTAGATTGACTGGGGGCTGTATGACACGACGCGGCGCACGAAACTGCTCAACGACATCCATTTTTTTGTCGACATCCTTTGGCTTGGGTGTCGCCTCCCTTTTGGGACTCTGATTGAACTTTTTTTCCATATCGGCATTGCACAAAATCAGCGGATTTTGGTCCATCATGGGCCTGGACGCAGCGAGCGCCGAACATTCTAATAAATTGGAGGGATCAATCACATTGAAGGCCTGAAAGCCGGGCGCCATTTGATCCGCTGCATTCGGGGGGCTTTCCATGCGCTCGGGCTGTAATTGTGGAGATCATCGTTAGCTTGCTCTAGACGTGCCCGACCTATAGATACCCTGTACCCAACTCTCAATGGTGGCTGTATGCTTCTGCTTTCCACTGTGAAATATCAATTCCTAATTCTTCTCAATCTCTCCCTCACCCCTTCTTCTTCTCCCACTCTCTCTCTCTCTCTCTCTCTATCTCTCTCTCTCTCTCTCTCTCTCTCTCTCTCTCTCTCTCTCTCTCTCTCTCTCTTTACCCCTTATAATCTTAAAGATATATTAGGGGGGGATATAGAGGGAAAAATATATATTGAAGGCTCTAGACCTTATTGTTTTAGGTAAGGACATCGATATTTATCGATTGCATTTAAATTTAATTAAGTATCGATAAGCAAGTAAAAACAGCTCTTCAAATTTACCCCCATTCAATGGGTACAGGGTATGCACAAAATTGTTTATATATTACCACCTCCTGGGCATATAACACATGCTCTGCTGGTTCCATATAGCACTGAGCAACTTCCATGGCTGGGGGAGCATCTGGGGTCGCCTATGGAATATCAAAGGAACGTATTAAGAGGGTACGGTAAGGATACGGCCAAGGTACGGCGAAGGTACGGCTAGGGTACGGCTAGGGTACGGCCAGGGTCCAGCCAGGGTACAGCCAGGGTACAGCCAGGGTACGGAAAGGTTACGTCTGGGTACGGCCAAGGAACGGCCAGGTTAGGATATTCTCACTCACCTCCAATTGCGCTGCAACAGCCAAGTCCTGCTCATGACAGCCATTCTGATATGTGGCCTGATCTGGACTGACATCCGACTTGGACTGCGACATGGTACAGTCAGGTACTCGTCCATTTATATATACATTCTGGGTGCCTGGGACTGGCTTGCGTCTGCCGCGCAGCTTATATAGGCTGACTACCAGCTTGTCGGGTGTCCTGGCTATGAACACATCGCTGGCCATCGATATGTCCACCTCAACAGTTTCGGGCTCAATGTAATCCGTTGATGGGCCCAGCGGCATGGGTGGTGGTGCATCGTATGACGGCATGGGTGGTGGTGCATCGAACGATGGCATGGCTGGTGGACTTCGTGGCGACTGTGGCTGCGAATAATTATAGCATTGATAGCCAAATGCCTCGTCTGTCTGTGGCAGCATATCGGGCGTGGGCAGCAGCCCAACTGGCGGTGGTGCATCCTGATAGTTATACACCTCATAGTTGTACGACTGGGGGGAGCTAAGGTGCTGCTGTGGCTGCTCCATCAGCTGGCTTGGTGGTGGTGCTGTTGGAGCTGGAGCTGGCAGCATTTGCTGTGCATTCGGTGGTGCAGCTGCGATCAATTGCTGTACATTTGAGCCTGCTGTCACATATTGCTGCTGTGAATTTGCCGGAGCCGCGATAAGTTGCGACAGACTGGCCGATGCTGCCACGTATGGCTGGCCAGTTGATGGCCCCGCGACCATTTGCACGGGCTGATAATAATAGGTGGGCGCCAGCTGCACCACCTGCTGCTGCTGCTGCTGCTGGGACTGTGACTGGGACTGTTGGACGGAATGCTGCTGATAGACGTAGGCCTGTGGATTGTTCGACGATTGCGGCTCCAACGGCCGATAGGCGGTCGCATAGCCCAAGGGCTGACCCTCCTGCACTTGCAGCGGCTGATAGCAGTAGGTTTGCGGCTCGTATTGCGGCACATTCTGGCTGGCTGCTTGCTGGAGCACCAGCTGCAGCGGCGCTTGGCCATCGGCGGGCTGGTATGTGCCATATTGGGGCACCGCATTGTACCAGGTGCCGTTGTGATAAATACCCGTGGCCGGCACGCCATTCACGGACAGCGGCTCGCCGTACGAAACCGTCGCATTCTCCACCGACTGCTGCTGCTGCTGCTGCTGCTGCAGGGACTGCACCTGGTGATAGATGGACCTCTCGTATGTCTGTTGATTTTGTTCATGTTGCGGTATTGAGAAACTTCTCATGGTATTCACACTGTGGCACTAGGAAAACTAATATTCAGTTCTACACCAAAATTTCAGTTGAGCTACCTTCAATTTTCAGCTTGCCAACTGTCAACGGCACGTGTTGTTAACTAACACTGGAAAACAGGGCTGTCAGCAGCCAAAAAAAAATAAATAACAATAAGCTTGATTTACACAATTCAATTACGCCATTTTGTTGGACCTGCCAACTGGCAGTTGGATGTACAGCTTCGGCTTCTTTGCTAGCTTTGGCGTTTACCAACACTGTTTGCCGAAATGCAGTGCAGAACATGCATTTAGCACAAATGAACTAAACAAAACGCATAATTTCAATTTATTTTGTTTGAATTTATTTCTGGCAATTATCAGCGCCACGAGTTTCAGATACACAGCGTCTAGATCATATATTATATGCTGCTTTCGATCGAGCAAAATATAGAAAAAGGACCTTAGTATCTTATAAGGGATTAAGTTAGACTAAGACAATCCAACTACCGCGTTCCTCGTACTTCAATGGCCCAATCCCTCTTAATATTGATTAGCTATTGGATTACCCGGAAATATAAACAAGATGTTATCTGAGCAGTTGAAAATATTTCAAAATCCTTTGCAGACATAAGTATTATCAAGTTTTATTTATTCAACAAAAGTATGATATATCTTTTGATATATTCCAAGGCCTCTTGTTGGCGTCTTCCCTCCAATCGAGAACGGGTCAAATTTGCAGCGCTGAACTGTTGTTTTTGTATTTCTCGGTTCGGGTCAGAGACGAGCTGGATAAATAGTGCGCGGGGCCAGGGGCCGGGCTAAATGCCAAACACACAGCAACATTTAGCGGCATTTGCATATTTAATTGTCAAGAAAATTACCTGGCAAAAAAAAAATAAATACAAGAAAAACATGAGAAAAGCAAGAGATAATAGCCAAAAAAGAAAAGACGTGAAAATGTGGCTGTAGAAAAAGGAGCGCGCCCCTCGCCCGGCCGAAGGTTGGATGGGGGGTAGGGGTTGCATAAATCTAACCTCACAACTGGGCGGCTATAAACAGCAGCCCAACCGCAAAGGCCATTGGCCAGGCGAATCCGAGGGTTAGAAATGCAAATTCCTAAACGGGACGGCACGGAACGAAGCGCACATCAAGAATGTGTCTCGGCAAGTTTGTCAAACCGTTTGACAGGCGCCCGATCAGGTTCCCTACCACGAAAAAAAAAACAATATATACAAAATAGTAGAAGAGAAAATAAAATTAATGCACGGCTGCAATTAAATTTGAATAAAATGTTAAGTTTATTGAATCTTAGCCAGGGGCCAAATGCCTGTCGTTTACCCCTTTCTTTCGTTCTTGCCTTTTCCCGCTCAACTTCGTGTAATTGATTAGCCCGCGGCGGCGCAGCCAGTTTTTCCGCATGGCCGCAACGACGTTGCCCAGCACTGGCGTTGCCCAACACTTTCTTTTGCCATTTTACGTTCGTTTAACTTACGCAGCTTTTCGTACGGCACTTTGCTCGCGCCCTCGCACGTGCGCTCTTCCTCTTCGCTTTTGGCGTTGCCAGATAACAGCGATTGCCTTGGAATAGCCGACGCGCTGCCAGAGTTGTCATTTTTGTTTAAATCACATTTGGATTTCGCATTGCTTACGTGTGTGCCACCGAAAGGGACTAGAATGATTTCAATGATAATTCGCAATATGCTGCGCATCGTCGACTGGAATATGATCATAATAAGTAAGTTCCTTTTTAATAGACCAGAGTTGCCCTTACCACGCCCCGAAATTGACTTTGCAGTGGACTTGGTGCGCGCCATTTGCTGGTATCACATGCAGCTCTTCGATAGCGCCCACGTGCCCGGCTTTAATCTAACGGAGCTGATGATCCAACATGTCCTGGAAGTGAAGAAGGGTCTGACTGTCCAATATATCGATGTCCCGAACAGAAACCGAACAGAACCGAGCGCGTGTCGCCAATAATACCTTAAGACAATCCCAGCAAGTGGAATATCTGGGAGCTTACCAACAGCCCGGGCCAATGATGATCCTGTTCGGATAGCCCACATTTGATTATACTAAAGAATCACCCTGTAAAGGATTAAACTAACCTATAAACTGATGCCAGACTTTATTATGCCTTTGCAGGGACTATCATCAAAGAAAGTATATCAAACCCCATATATATATATTCTTGATCAGCATCAAAAGCCGAGTCGCTATAGTCTAATCCGTTTGTCCTTCTTTCTCTATGCGAAGGAGACTTCAGTCGTAAAGCTTTCTTGGTGAAACTAGGTGGGAGACGGCTTTCCTGTAGAAAATCTCCCCCTTGATATTTTAATACCCACAATATCCCATCAGCATATAGCTACTATATAGGAATATAAATTTGGAAATTTTGAAATATATTCCTAAGCAGCTTAGACTTGAGAATTGCAATAAATATATGTATTCGATATATATTTATTTCGATATCTCCTCCCATTTGTATTATATCGATAAATATCGAAGCATATCTCGAGAATTATAAGAGCTAGACACACCAAATTTGAAATGTAGATGTTCGCTTAGCATATGCACTTAAAAAATATATCACTTTTTTGATACCTGCAACCATTCGATATCTCCTCCCATTTGTATCATATCGATAAATATCGATTTGAAGACTTCGTTTTTGAAGCATATCTCGAGGAATATAAGAGCTAGATACACCAAATTTGAAATGTAGATGTTCGCTTAGCATATGCACTTTAAAAATATATCACTTTTTTGATACCCCCATCCGCTTGACATTAATGCCATATGGAAGCTCTGCAAACGTCATAAAGATCCGATTATAATATTTTGATATGATCCAACTTTTGATTATGTTGAAGTTCTGAGCCCAATCGCAGTGCAAGTAATTTCACATAACTCTAGCCGGAGGTAAAATTTTTGTGCAATTTTGAGATTTCGCCAGGCTTCAAATCGGATGTGTGTGTACTTTTTTATGCTGAGTACGGTCGAAGGGCAACCCTTCGGTTAGGTAGGAAGGCGACCTTTGCTCTCGTTGCAGTCGCGATTTTAAACGATTTAAACCCGTGACCGCTTTGGCCATTGTTTATTGCCTAATTTGCGGTTAAATTTTGATTTCGCCACAATATGATTTCGTTTTCGATTTGCGCATTTCTCAGACAGATTGAGATTTATGTGTGTTGTGTGTGTTTGCCAATAAATCTTTTGAGAGTGTGCGAAACTTTTGGCGCGCTGTGCACCGAGCAGGAAAACAAAAACAAAACACAAAAAAACAGCACGAACAAAGCAGATGACAGACGTGAGAACAGAGAAACTGCAATCAGTCAAGGGTCAAACTTATATATAGCATGACTATACTCGTACAATAAGGTTCGACGATACAGTTCACGGCTCGAAGCAAAGCCTCAACTTTGTGAATTTAGTTTTCCACTTCTATGAACCCAAAGTTCGAACCTTTGTCCATTCTCCAAAGAGGAGTCGATTTTCGTCTAAGATTAAGACTCTCTTATATATCCCTCATATTCCACCGAAATATGTGAAACATTTCAACAATGAATATACTCAAAGGAACTACCAGGCGAACGTCCATTTCCACCTTTTTCCACCCAAAGAGTGAGTATTCGATTTTCGTTTAAGATTACGACTCATTTTGCTATTCCCCTCATTTTCCACCGAACTGTGTGAAACAGTCTTACAACGAATTGAACCTTCGTCCATTCCCCGCATTTTCCACCAAAGGAGGTCTTATTGTGCTCTTCGAGTAAACTACTGTGACAAATTCTTCCAACTCTTACGCTTTGAGCGTTGATCATCAATCAGTCAGTCAGTCCGTCAGTCAGTCCGTCCGTCCGTCCGTCAGTCCGTCAGTCTTATGTATATATTTGTGTGTGGCAGACATTAATCATATAAACAGAAGCAGTTAGTGGGTAAGTTTTGCCCGGTTTATCGCGGGCAACTGATCTGCTAATGACGTCTGGCGAGTTGCGCTAGTGCAGAAAATCAATTAAATAACCGAATACCCTAAAATGTTTACATGTAATGAAGGACACCCCCCCGCCCCGACCACAACGCAGGACGCAACGCAACCCCTCGGCCCCGGGTCAAGCACAGGTCATTCGCGTAATGGTCAACTGTCAAAGTCAGGAGCCGAGCCAGATGCATATCGCACCACCGGCTACCGGCTATCGACAACCACAAGCCCACGCGTCTAACACATTAACACAGTGCCCGCAGAGGGGGAGAGGGTGGTGCAGTTTTCATGTCGATCTTAACTTTATGACATATGAAAATTTGTTAACCGTTTCCATATGTTGTTGGGTTAACTTCGCAGTTGTCTACTTGTGTGTATTGTCTCTGCCCTTTGACGTTGACAGTTTTCAATTAGTTTTTCCATTTCCTAATGCATTTGTCGCATGCTGCAGGCCATTTTCTCGCAAGTCGAACACTTGCCTCAATTTCAGCATTCACTTTAATCAAACATGAGATCTGTTTTTAATAACTGAGCTATAAAATCAGTTAAAGGGCATGCCCGAATGTGCCATGATCCTTGAACTAAACTTCCAGCTGCCTGCTAAATATATTCTCCTAGTTATTATATAGTATGTAATGGAAGAACTTGCTTAACTTCGGTACTTGTAGTCCGATCTATATGCAATTTTCAGGACTTGCTTGTGGCATAGAAAAGTGCGTGTATACCAAGGCTGTAACTGATATCATTTCATTCATCATTTCAAAAATGTGTAAAAAAACCAAGTCTCACAAAAGATACTTATGGCAATGTGAGGGGAAACATAAGTAAATGAATAAACTCCTTCTACTCCTTCTATATTCTAAATTTGATGTCTTCAGCTTTTGTAATTCTCGAGATTGGGGCATTCTCACAGGACTAGATCGGGCTCGGATCTGCCGTTATGAATGGCAACGACATAGAGATACATTTTGGAATGACAACGATTACAAGCCATAAATACACATACATAAATCTATTGTGGGTTACCCTAGGTCCAAGCGGGCCTTGATTTATGTGCGACAACTCAATTCGGTGGCAAAGCTGACCAAAGCTGTTTACACCGAATTTGTGTCACAGAATCAATTGTCCACGACACGGCAAGAGGCGCGCGGGGGGGGGTAGAGGGGCAATAAAAACAAGGACAACAGCCGCTCTATTTCCACAGCCCTCAAAGGGGTCAGCTGAGCTGCCTCCCTCCCTTACCTCGCTTCCCTTCGTTTCCTGGCATCAGCCGCAGGACAATCGCAGGCAGCGAATCTTGTGCTCCGCCCGCTGATTTTCCTTTTCGTTTGGCTTTTCCTTGACAACATCCTGCATAATTTTCCGGTTCAGTGAACTGTCGCCGGGACGCTGATCCTGACCCACGACAAGAGATTCCGCGCAACGTTGACATTCTACATAATGAAGAGGTCAGTTTCGCACGACGCCTGTTTGTTTTTGTTTTGATACTGTTTTCTGTTGTTGTTGTTGTTGTTGTTATTGTTGTTGCTGTTTATTCCTGTTGCAGTCAAAGGTTTAAGCCTTTAGCCCGCAACATGGGCGCGAACTTGCGGTTGGTTCCACGCCAGCTGCTGCCCCGATCCTGCCTCGCGTTTGTTACGCATCATCATCATCATCATAATCATCATTGTCCTGGCAACAGGATGCGCCAGGCTGGCCACAACAACAATCGTTTGTGCCCAGTCACATCCTGTCACTCCATTCGCATCCTGCATGATAAATGATAACTGATTTTCCATTCGGCCCACAACATTCCCAGGCTGCCCAGCAAAAAAAAAAAAAGAGAAGCAAAACGGGAGCATCTCGTCAAATGTCAACCATGGCAAATTGTCAACAGGATGTTACAGAACGACCTAAAGGACCTTCGCCTGGAATGAGAGCCGAGCGAGCGAGAGTACAAACTGTAAAAACAATTTCTCAAAGTTACTCGATAGTTAAATATTTTGATTATGATTATACTACTTATTACCCAAAGTGTGTACATTCAGGATCAGGACCTCTCGATCTCGAGAACTACAAGAGCTAGAAGCACAATTTTAGATATTAAATTTGTATTCCCCTAGAACACAAAGGAACTTGGCATATCTTTGCAATAGCTCCTTCCAAATCTGTAATATCGATAAATAACGATTTTGAGATTTGATTTTTAGAGCATTTCTCGAAGATACACCAACAATTTGGTATAATATGTTTTAGACTAAAAATATATCATTTATCACCTAGAAAACATCAAATTTTGCAAGGATCTCAGTTGAAAGGAGAGTATATATAGATATAGGATAGTACCATTTATTATAGACTCAAAATAGTGAAGAATCTCAGTTGAAAGTCTCTGAAAATCGGACTTTGTCACTTTTTATTCAATCACATTTACATGTATTTCTAGGTGCAAGTATGCCTTTATAGATTAGGCGCCTTATATAGATTAATATACCTTAAAACTTAAAGACACCCATTTTGAGCCTTAAATCAAACCGGAAAAACAGCCAAGCTGAAGGCCGAAGCCAACATTACTTTACTTATAAATAATTTGCTCTCGTAGTGCGTTTTTGCAGTCCCGATCTCGACCTAAGAGCAGCGTCTATAACATCGGAAAACTATATGATATGATAACAAACTGGAAATCGTGTTGCTTATATTATATATAAAATTCCATTGGTGAGAAGATGTTGTTCTAGGTTTGGTGAACGCGTCCATATGGGCTTCAGCCAGTCAAACACAATTAAGCCCAATTGTAAAGGGTCACGAAATCGAAATCTACAAAATGGGAAACCTTTTAATGTTGTTTTCGTTTTTTTTTTTTTGAATGTGCATTCATGTGCATGTAAATAACTTA